AACCCCCCCTGAGAGATCCCCCGTCATCCGGACCCGAACCGAACCGCGTCGGCCCCGAGGCCACGGTTTAAAGTTGTTTACACCAACATTTTGGCGCTAAAAGGAGGGTCCGATGTCGAGGGATCGCCAGACCGACTCGGTCGAACCCACAGTCGAAGGGGCGCACCCGGTCGGGGCTCTAGGGGAACACTCCCTGCGGGCGGGTCTCCGCAACGAACACCCTGCCACAACTTCATAGCGCTATTGGAGGATCTTCAACGACCAGGGTTTGTTGCCGCCCAACGCCCCCTCCGCCGAACCATCGCTCGTCTCGTTCGAGGCCTTTCTCGACCTCACCCATCAGGTCCAAGTTCTAACCGGTATGGTACAGTCCATCATTCCACTCATCGCTGGAACACTGCACCCGCCGGCCGTCGAACCGGTGCGACAGCAGAAACCGCCTGTTCAGGCTCAGGCGCAGCCCCTGGAGCTTCCCGCTTCGCCTCGGGTCCCGTCGTCCCCACTCGGGGATCGAATGACGGCGGACCGGAAAGGCCACGCTCAACCCGAGGCCCTTCCTCCGACCTCGTCGGACTCCCTGCGAGCCCAGTTGCTCCTCGTCAGTCAACGGCTTGACGAGGTACAGAAGGAGGTCCGCAGGTCAAGAGGAGAGCTCGGGGAGGACGTACATCAGGGATCCCCATTCGTCCCTGAAATACGGGATCAGACAGTCCCACAGAACTTTCGTCTCCCCTCTCTGGACACATACGATGGCTCCACCGACCCAGCGGACCATGTCGCCGCCTTCCACACCCAAATGGCACTGTATAGAACCTCTGACGCTCTGATGTGTAGGGCGTTCCCCACAACTCTGAGAGGACCAGCCCACGCGTGGTACAGCGGCCTGAGGACCGGGACGGTCGCCTCATTCGACTAGCTCGCCAGAGACTTCGAGCTCAAGTTCCTGGCCAGCGCTCGGCTGAAACCGTTCGTTGCCTTACTTCTCGGACTGCACTAGAGGGAGGACGAGTCCCTCTCCCACTTTGTGAACCGTTTTGCAATGCAGATCCGGGGATTATTCGATGCTCACCCCTCTCTGTTGATGCAGGCGTTCATGGCGGGACTGCGACCTTCCCGATTCTTCTGGTCCCTCATTGAGAGACCCCCCACCGTGCTACATGAGATGCTTCAGCGGGCGAACCAGTTCGTCGCGGTTGAGGCTTGGATGGCCGGAAAGCAAGAAGAGCGTGCGAGGGTCAGACCGGAGCTGGCTCCTGGGCAACAGCCTGTCGCGACTAGGCGCAGGCTGGACCGATCCGACCCCCCCGCTCCGAGGCCCCCTCTTCCCCCCCTGGGCGCGTCCCGAACGGAGATATTTCTCCAGATAAAGGAGAGAGGGTTGCTTAGGGCTCCCGTCCCGATGAAAAACCCACGAGAGCTCGCCGACCAGTCCAAGCATTGTTGCTTTCACGAGCAAAGAGGGCACGACACCGAAGACTGCCGCGAACTGAAATGGCAGATCGAGGAGCTTGTCCGCAAGGGGTCACCTCAGTCAATACATCCGACGGAACAGGGAGCCTTCGCCTCACCCGGAGGGCCCCGCGGAGCACCGCATCGATGTCATCACTGGAGGACCGGTGGCTGGGGGAACCAGCATGTCCAGGAGGAAGGCATACGCCCATTCCGCTAGGACTGACGCTCCCCAACGTGGCCCCGACCCCAAGGTCGCATTCCCTCTCGAGGACGTCAAGCGACCAGAGCATGACGACGCGCTTGTGATAATGACTCAAATCGCTAACGCCCAGGTAAGGAGAATCATGATCGACACCGGGAGCTCAACCGACGTGCTCTATCTGGATGCCTTCCTGAAGTTGGGGCTAACCAAAGAATCCCTAAAGCCTATCTACTCGGCGCTCACGGGATTCACCGGCGATTCGGTCTCACCATTGGGGACTGTTACCTTGCCCCTGACCTTGGGAGAGTCGCCCAGAACAAAGACAGTGATGTCCACCTTCTTGGTGGTAGATCTTCCTACTGCTTACAACGCTATCCTTGGCCGTCCCACCCTCAACAAAATCAGAGCTGTAGTCTCCACCTATCATCAGACGGTGAAGTTTCCTACCCACGCCGAGACAGGGGAAGTTTGGGGAAGCCCCTAAGAGTCCAGACGATGCTACCTGACGATGGTTTCGCTGCACAAAAGGGTGAAGACCGACCAACCTCTAGAGGACCCGAGAGAAAAGAAGTGGTCGACACCACATCCGGAGCCAACAGCGCCCACTTGCAATGTACCGTTGATGGAGGATCGCCCGGATCGAACGGTCCAAGTCGGGTCGGAACTCCCCGGGCAAGAACGGGAGCAGCTCGTCGGTTTCTTGCAGGAGAACGCTGATGTCTTCGCCTGGACGCCATCCGACATGACCGACGTCGACTCAGAGACCGCCCAGCATCACCTGAATATCTCGCCCGATGCCCGGCCCGTAAAACAGAAGCCACAACGTCAAGGCCCCGATAGGCAACTCGTCGTCCGCAAAGAGGTGGAGCAACTCTTAGCGGCTGGCTTCATCGAGGAAGTCAAGTACCCGCGATGGCTGTCTAATGTAGTGCTGGTAAAGAAATCTAATGGGAGCTGGAGGATGTGCGTTGACTATACGAGTCTCAACCGTGCATGCTCGAAAGACTGCTATCCTCTCCCAAGGATCGATCAGCTGGTCGACGCAACTGCCGGGCACGCCCGTCTATCGTTCATGGACGCCTTCTCCGGCTACAACCAGATCAGAATGGCGCCCGAGGACCAAGAGCACACGTCTTTCATCACTGATCTAGGGGTGTATTTCTATAAAGTCATGTCGTTTGGGCTCAAAAACGCAGGCGCCACCTATCAAAGGGTCGTGAACAAAATGTTCGACGCACAAATCGGGTGAAACGTCGAAGTCTATGTCGACGACATGATCGTGAAAAGTCGCATGGCGGCAGACCACCTGACCGACTTGGCCGAGACATTCTCCACACTCCGGATGTATGGCCTGTGACTAAACCCGGTGAAGTGCGTTTTCGACGTCAATTCGGGAAGGTTCCTTGGATTCATCGTGCATGAAAGAGGAATCGATGTAAATCTGGAAAAGGTTCAAGCGGTCATCAACATGCAGGCCCCGCGAACAGTCAAGGACTTGCAGCGACTAAACGGACGGCTTGTGCCTTATCCTGGTTTCTATCTCGGTCTGGAGACCGTTGCCTTCCCTTCTTCCGGGCATTGAAGAACCCCAAGGACTTCCGATGGATGGCGCAGTGTGAAGAGGCTTTTGGACAAGTTAAGCAGCACTTGGCCAACCTCCCCCGTCTTGCCTCGGTTACTCTCGAGGAAAAGCTCAGCGTTTACTTATCCGCCTCCCAACA